CAACCACAGCAACCAGTACTCCACCTCAAAACACAGCCCCAGTACTCCCACCTCCACAACCACTGCCACCAGTACCATCCCACCTCACAGCTCCCGGTACCTACCACCTCCACACGGACCGCAACCGTCGTCCGACTCCACACCAAACATGCTAACACGGAAATGCAGCGACGACTCACAACGCGACAGACACCCAGAAGAACTGCCCTCCAGGTGGCACAACAGAGATCACACTAATCCCATCACCAGTCTAATACCAACATCGCCGTAACAAGGTACGGAATCCAACTCCAAACAACGCACCTAGTACCTCCCACCTCCACAACCACTGCACCCAGTACGTCCAACCTCCACAACCACAGCACCCAGTACCTCCACAACTACAGCACCCAGTACCTCCCACCTCCACACATACACACACAATGTAATAGATGTTTTTGTGATCAATAAATCACTCAAAACACAAACTAAAGAAATATTATTTTCAGACTTCAGCCAATAAGCCTGTGAGATCCTGGAGGGTCTGGGTTCTGGTCTGGGTCTGGTTTAGGGTCTAAATAAGGAAACTGGTGGAAGAAAGCAGCTCTGTGTGGGTGAACATTGAGTTAAAGTTGGATCCAGAACAGTCTGGTTCCTGTTTGCAGCTCTGATTGCTTCACTGTGGTTGCACAACATCTGTCCTTCTGCCAGTCGACAGAAAAAAAAAAAAATATTTCGATTAATTGTGCCACTTTTATGTCTTTTGGTAACTCTTGGTTCTGCAGTGTTATACAGAGACACGATGCACCCTGATATCACTTAGAACTAAATACATTTGGCTGCTGTGGCTCAGAAGGTTGAGCGGGTTGTCCAATAATAGGAAGGTTGGTGGTTTGATGCCTGGCTCCTCCCACCACATGTCGAAGTGTCCTTGAGCAAGATACTGAGTTATAGTGATAGCCCTACCAGATCCAGCTGAAATTCTGTCAGAAGTCCCTTAGGATGATGACGATGACATCTTATGAATCTTAAGGTTGATGAGGGGGTTGTTGATATATACAGGGCTGCTGTTTGTCGGTGGCAGTGGGATCCTTGTGAAATAAAGTCCTGTTGAAATTGTCAATCTCTCTCTCTCTCTCTCTCTCTGTAGTGATTGGCTCCATGTGATCAATCTAGTGAGGAGGGGCCTCTTTGTTCTGTGTCAGAGTCATTGATTGGCTATATGTTTCCATCAAGTTTCTTGATTAAATAAAAGCATTCATTGGGCTGCCATTGCTCCATGTATGGAAATGTAAACTTTGAATAAAGTTGTTTCATTGTATGTGCTTCAGTTTATTTAAAGCAGTGGTACCCAACCTGGGGGTCAGAACCCCCAGAAGGGGTTGCCAAAGCATTAAAGGAGGTCACAAGGGTTTTAATGAGTGTAAGAAAACTTTATAAATATACACAAAAGGCCTAAATTCAAAGATTGAAGAATATTTTATTATTTACAACAAAGTTGTGGAATGAAATTATCTCCGTATTTTGTTCAGAAAGAAGAAAACGAAATTAAATGATTATAGTTATTTTTAAAGTGTATATTATTATTCAAGATGTAGTCTATATTCACAGTGCCTTCACTCTCTGATAAACAGCCTTGTCCTGCAGTAGAAAAGTTCAAACAACCAAAGAGCTAATAGAACAATGGTCAGAGAGAAGAAAACACTGAATTTGTCAAAAAAATTATAATATAATATAAAATAATAAAATATAATATAATATAAGTTCTTAAAAATATCAGGAGAACTCATCTCTACTCAAAATTCACAGAAAATAATCTGCTCAATTTTTTTTTCAAAATTTCTGGTTTTAGACAAACCAAGTTCACTGTTTGGGTTCATTGTACAGTTTATCATTTGCTCTGTATTGTTACTGATATCAATCAATAGAATAGGAAATATACAGAAAATACAGTCAGTTTACTCACTAATAGAAAAGGGCTTCTTAAGGAAAAAGGTTGGGAACAACTGATTCTATGAGACTATGAGAGTTTATATGTAAAAATACACACAAGCAGAATCATACAGTTAAGAATGGAAAATTAGGAAATTTACAACATTAATAAAACAGAACCAAAGTTCAAGTAAGTAGTTATCAAAGTAAAAAGCTGTTGAAGCAAGAAGTTTGAGCAAAATATTTTAATTAAAACGTAAGAACAGTTCAATAACAGCATTAAGACCCAGCTCTGCGTCTGGAGCCAAAACTGCGACATCACGGCAGGTGTGAACTTTATAGATCTTATAAAAACTTCTTGTTGCCATAACGGACGTCAGATCTAATGAAAGCCTGTACGAGGATTTTAATGTCTAAATCGGATCGAATAGTTTAGATCTGGCTCTTAATGTTATAGTTATGTAAATGCAACAAACTGATCAGATGAAGAGGTTGAAAACATTCATTAATGCAGCAGAGATGAGCTCTAGTGAAGTTTACTTTAAAAAAACAACTGACTAACAAACTCTCAGCAGATATAGTGTCACTGCATCCTCAGTTCTGTGAGATAAAACCACTTTACACAACAGTGCATCAAACCTCTGAAAACCTCCTGAACCAACGCAATGACAACTTCAGTAACAGGAAACAAAGAGAAGCTCTTTATACGGAAGCTGAACTTCAGCATGAGGTCTTATTATCACCTCCTCACGGTGTGTGAACAACAGAATGTGAACTTATCCAGAGGAGCCTCAACTTTAACGCATCACATCTGAAAAAGACGCAATCAGCTCATTTAAAGAAAGGTTCAAGCTATTTTATCCATCACACCTCAGTGAGTTCAGGCCTACAGTCGAGTAAATCCAATAGAAGTAGAGCCAGTAATGAGCCAGTAATGATGGCACCTTCAGACAGACACCAACACAAACCGATCACCAACACAGCACCCAACCTTTAATATAGAAATCATCAGAGATCAGTGAGTGTGACCTTACCTTGTACTCGCCATCTCTGTGCCACTGATCACTGAAGACAAGAGGCCCAACTGTTAGAGGAAGTATGATTCATCACGTGGTTCCTTCAAACCAGCCGTCTCTCACAGTACAACTGCTGCAACCTCCCCATTTCCTGAAAGAAAAAAATCTAACCTCATTCTCAGCAGTTTGTCACGTCTGTCAGTGAACCAATGTCTGCAGAGACTCTGTTCATGCTGCTGGAAACCTGTCACTGTTATTGATCTACATTGACACCCAATCAAATGTAATATTGTAATGTTTAAGAATCAATGCTTGTGAACACACAGAGGATACAGAGCTGCAGTGATGATGTATTTCTGTAGTCTAACTCTAAAGTTAGCATTGTCCTGGTTCCTTCCACAAACAGCCAATGAGATTGTTCCACTTGATTTTGGATTATTGCAGAAAAGAACTTGTATTTAAATTTTTGATTAAAATCTACAAGATGCAAAGTTTGAGTCTGTAAAGGTGGATGAGTGAGTAGATCAGTCTCACCAGCAATATTCACAGGTGGAATATTTTCTGATGGATCTAATGTCAGAGAACAAACTGTGTTAACCATAGACCTTATTTCAGACATTAAACCAAAAACCCACTCAAACAACCCATTGACTTTAATGAGAGGAAACTCAGTTGAGGATTTTTGGACCTGCAGCACTCTGTTGTAACCAACCCTGAAGCTCTACTTTGAGTCTCGTTCAGTGTTTCAGGCAGCTTACACACCCAGTGGGACATTTTACAGTAAAGACAAACTGTCTCTGCTGGACAAACTGGAGTGGGTTTTTTTTTTATGCACATCGGGGCTTAGTCAGTTAAAGTTAGCTGAATGTTACAGAAATTCAGACAATTGGCACTAGCCTACGACGCTGTTCTGACTCCACTCCCACCATCTTCAGCCACCATCTTCTACTGCTTTCAGATGGATAATATGATTGCCGTTTTCTTTTGCTCGATAGCTTCATCCTGTTCGCGATCCATCATTAAAATCATCGTACCCACACGATGTTACGACCTAAACGATATAAAAAAAAACATGCTTATGAGTAGGATATCGGACATCCCTACCCATAAGCATGTTTTTTTTATATCGTTTAGGTCGT